GGACTTATACTTAGAATCAAAATTAACTCCACAATTAGGTCCTATATTAAATACTGAGGAGTACGACATAGGGTAACAACAATGGGGTCTATGATAAAAAGCACAAAAGGTTAAAGGGGTTAATGTAAACTTTGAAATAGTTATGTGCAATTAATGACTTGGTAGATTTTGCATAATTTAGCCAATTATATATTTGAAGATTGCCTCGCCCTATTTTTTTTGCCCCCAAAAGTAAAATAAAGAAGTCAAAAGAATTTTCTTAGGCTAATCATGATTCATTGATCACCATCACGATGGAGGATAATGTTTTAAATTTGGCTTAATCTTATCTCGTCATGAGTTGATTAAGAATAAACTTGAAGTTCTCCTTTTATAGCCATTATTTTGATCATGGTGAGGACTTTGATCTCTTGTTTATACTTTCGAGTAGTTCAGCCCCATTTTTTTGGGGGAAAAACAAAGACAAGAAAACAAAAATGGAAAAAAATGTATTTAACACGAGTTAGCCCCCCGGGCGGCAGGGAATGTCTCCATTACATATTCTCTCCACTTACTCTCCATTTAATTAAAATACAGCGTTTTGGGTAGAGAAACAAAATCTGGTCAGTTTTTTTCCCCAATCTAAGTCGTCACTTGCAAATTCAGCTTCTCATGTTCCTCGATCAAAACGGAAATTTCCTTGTTTTGCCTCCAAAAAACTTCATAAAAATGAGGAACCCTTTTTCCTTGTATGTGAGAAGAAATCATCGGAGAAAAAGGATGTTCGCTGGTTTATATACATCCCTTTTCAGTTTTTGGCTGTTGGCTTCTTACAATAGTTTAACCAGGAAAGAAAAAAAGGAACCATTTTGTTTCCATTCTTTCTATATTGACCTTTGTAATTCACACTTTGTATCATAAATCAAGGAAAAAAGTGACAAAATCGCCAGAGCCATTCGATGAACGATGATAATAATAAACATATCAGAGGTCATTTGTTTTGATAAAAGAAATTGAGAAAAATGTCCCAAAAGTATATCAGATGAAACCCAAAAGAAGTCCTAATTTATTCAGACGAATAATCAAAACACGAAGTCAATTATCAAGTTCGATCACCTCAAAAATGAATAAATGGTATATAGAGATAATCAGAATAAGGATCCTCTATTTCAAGAAGTTGCTTCATCTCATCAAACTTGAAAAAGAACGAATCTCATCAAATTATATTCAAAGGCCACTATGGTGGTCAAGGACAATGAAGAGCTCTATGGAGGGCGATGGAGGAGGAGGAATAGAGGAAAACTAGCCGCGGCTAAAATGAAATTACAACGAACGGCTCAGTGTCATTGTAAAAGGAGACAGTTCAGATTTTGTTTTTTACCCTAAATGCTGTACTTTAATTAAATGGAGAGTAAGTGGAGAGAATAAGTAATGGAGACATTCCGCGCCCGTTAGCCCCGTGCTTTTAGCTCGCACAAATTTGCTGATTAACTTTTCAGTTCCGTTTTGACCCGTAATTCCTTCATACAGAGAGAGAGGGGGAGAGGGGAAGAGAGAGAGAGGATACTAGGGATTTTGATCATTTCTCTTGGTTTGACAAAATAAAAATTTTAAGAGGAGAGGAAAATTTAACATTTTCCCTCCTCTCTCCTCATAAATCATAAGCCTCCCTTTTAAAATTAGAAGAATTTGAGAAGAAAATAATATTTTGATTTATATTAACTAATATTTATATTATTTTCTAATAATTTCATGTTACCTTTCAGCCCTTATCAAAGTTTCAACATGGGCCTTAGATTTTCGTCTACACATGGTTCTGCATCTTCGGCTCAACAAACACTTGCACGCTACCTAGCTTGACAAGCACGCGTCCGCATTCGGTTTATGAGCACCGAGTGATCAGCACTCAAAACGTCCGTCTTTTTGGCCAACAAAAGACAAGACGTCCATGTTTTGACTTTTGAGTGCTGGGCAATAAACATATCTTTTTTTCAACGTTTTTGCTTCTTTTTTTTTCCCAATGTACTACTTCAGGTCTTAGTTATAAAAGTCAGTTGATTAATTTAAAGAGATTAACAATTAAGTTGAGTTAATTATTTGTTCTAAATAGGTATTGTCTTTCCTAAAATATCCTTACTAATCAAGTGTATTGACTAGAACTATAATTATTAGAAGGACTATCTTGGAAAAACTGAGTAAATATGAGAGATAAAGTGGATTTGGGTCTTATATTTAGGATCAAAATAAAAGTCAAACAGGATTTTATATTAAGAACCGGAGATAGTACCATTTTTTTAAAGCACATACAGCCTTCCAAAATTTCCCAATGTATTTGCATTTATCTATATTTTTAACTTCAGCCAAACATTACTGGAAGATATCCTTTTTAATTTAATTACTCTTTAACTTTATTCATGTTTAATACTCCTTCGATCCTTAATATAAGATCCATTTAACTAATTTGATTAGATTAAAAAAGTTAGGTAAATTAGTTAATTATAAGAAAAGTAACACATTTTTCTTCAAACACCATAATCATCTTTTTTACTACCCCATCTCCCTCTTCTATTTGATTATGGTTGATGGAGTATCCATAGGGGTAATTTAGAGAAAATTGATAAACATGAGAAATAGGTCTTATATTTAGAATCAAAACCAACTCAAGACTTTTGTCCTATATTGAACACCGGAGGAGTATATATTTTATCACAATGACAATTGATCTAACCATAATAAATGAAAAGTACAAAATTATACATTCATATAAAAAATTTAATGATTTAACTTATAAATAAGACTAAAATTTTTTTCTTTAAATAAATAGGACTATATCAGTATTTTATCATTTAATTAGAAGTATGATTATCTATTACTACTTTCACTCTTTAATATAAAAACTAATTTGACATTTTGTTTGGTTATAAATATAAAACTTCAATTCTCTTTGTTTCTTATATTTATCTATTTTTTTAAGGTAATCTTTGCAATAGTTGCACATGTTAAGTATTTCATCAAATGATAGATTTAGTTAATATACATGATTACTAAAGATATTTTAGGGAAGACAACACTTATTTATTAAAAATAACCAACTTAATTAATATTTTTAATCTATTCAAATTAGTCAATTAGTTTTTATATGACAGATTGGAGATAGTATTTATTTTTATTCTTAACTCTTCTTCTTAGTAAACGGATTATAAATATATAAATTTTTGGGTAAAGTAACATCCAACATTGATATTATTTGTAAGTAGTATCCAATATTTTAATCTTATTTATGGTACATTTAATTTTTTTTATCCAGTACCTTTGAAATTATTTTTCAGTTACATCTAAGACCAAAATATTATTTATGATTTAGAGGTGCTAAACACATTATAAATAAGATTAGGGTGTTAGATGCATCACATATAATATTAGGATACTAGATATACAAATGAAAAATAGTACAAGGATACTAAATACTATTTTACCCTAAATTTTTTCACACATCAATACCATTTTATTTAATTTGGGTACTCTTTTAATAATGTTCGATAAAATGAAAAAAAAATTAAAAAAATGGATCAAAAAACAAAAAACTTGGCTGCCTAGCGCTAAAAAATGGAGGCGTTTTGAGTGATGAGCACTGACTAATGAACACCGAAAGCACTTGCACGCTTCCTATTTTATTTTGCAAGTTTGTAAATCAAGTAGTGGACGGTCAGTTCCCTGAATTGTACGTGATTTGGTATGCTTGGGGACTCAATCGTGCATCTCTTCCTTCATTTATATGGTATCAAATATATATTAAAAAAAAGTTACTATCACATATATTTTAATTTTTAAACGCAAATAAGCACACAAAACAAAAACATACAAATAAGTTATCTAAAAAAGTTATTTCGCTACTCGTACCAACAACACAGAAAAAAAATGAAAGTTGGAAAAAACATACTCAAATTAAACATATTTAATTTTGCTAATTATAAAAAGTTGATCTTATATATTAAATATTTATAATTATATTTTATTAACTACTCTATAAAATTTGTAAAAAGCAACTTAAATAATATAAGAGTGAAGTCGTCCATACAAAAATATTTTTCCTCCCCTCCCTTCTTAAACCATACAAGGTAACATTAAAATTGACTAAAGTATACATTTGGTCTTTTAACTTTACACAAGATTTCAATTTGGTCCCTTAATTTTAAAAAGTATACTTTTTGTCCTTTAATCCTAATTTTTTTAAAAAAAATGATGATATTAAGATCTTAAATATTGATAAAATATTCTCAAATGCAACATATTAATTTTAATTTTCAAAACATCAATGATTGTTACAACAAATCATCATTAAAGCCTAATGATTTTAGAGCTAAAGGACCAAATGTATACTTTTTAAAGTTAAGGGACCAAATTGAAACCTTGTACAAAATTAAAGGATCAAATATATATTTTAACCTATTAAAATCCCTTTCCTCCCCTCCTCTCATTTTAATCCAAACAAAATAATATTAAATGCCTTATCTTCCATTCATCTCTTTTTTCTCTATTGAAATCCCTCCCCTCTCCTCCTTTTTATTGACTCAAACACACCCTTAACCAAACCAGAATGACATAAAAAATGTACCACACAAGAGGGGAAAAAAAGAAAAGGAAAGGAAATATAACCAAAAAGCGGTCAAAACAAAAGGCAGATTCTCTATGCAACATTATAATAGGAAACTTTTCCTATTCCTTCTTTAGAAAACTGGCATATTCATCTTTAGAAAATATTCCTTTCCTTCTCCTCAATTAACAATCTCGTAATAAATACCATATTGGATAATAAATTAATTTTAATTTAACTTATTTTTTTTAACAGTAATTTATATATTTAATTAAACATAAAATCCTAATTAAATAATCCGGCCCAAGAAATGCAGATCCAAAGTCCAACCCTGATAGATAGTGATCCCACTCCCAGGGATGGGAATCCGGAAGAGAGAGTGTGAGGATATACAAGGTTCATGCGCTGCACCATGCCACCATGAAAGTAAACATAGGAAAAACAACTGAATCTGATTGAGAAGAGTAGGAAAAAATATACAAATCAAGATCAACATGAACCTAAACATTTGTGCAAATGAAGAACATAAATATCAAAATACATAAAACTTGCATCCTCGTAGTGGTTGAAAGAAGTTCATACAAAGGCATACATACATACACTTAGTCGCAGAAAATAATTAAGCAGGACTTGCTTCCACTTCAGCCTCATTAGGTAAACCTTTCACTGCAATGGTTATGTGGCAAGTTCGCTTTCTAATTGCATAAGCTCGTCCACGAGCTACGGGTCTTACCCTTTTAAAGGTTTTACCTTCATTGACCTCAGCTCTACTGATAACTAAACTTCCTTTGTTTAAACCCAGATTATGGCTAGCATTTGCTGCTGCGGAAAACACCAATTTCAGGATGACATCACATGCTCGATAAGGCATGAGCTCTAATATCATGAGTGATTCTTCATATGAACGTCCACGAATCTGATCAATCACTCGTCTAGCCTTATCGGCAGACATGCGAATATGTCTGCCTACTGCATATGCCTCTACATTTGAGGTTTCATCATCCTTGCCTGCAGCATTAGATATTCATTTATAAAATGTTTTGCCAAGTTATTCTAGGCAGGAAATAGATAGGGTTTACATTCAAAACATGTTAAAAGCGTACAGAATAACACCCACACCTGCATACTGAAATACCATAAACCAATTCTCTCTGAGATTTTTCCGAGTAGGCATTGTGTGAAAGAGAGTTAAAAAAATACCTCATATCTGTATCCCATTTCTCATACAAATAGGAACTCACAAGTGACACCCTCTTTTATGAAGGAAGGGATCATTGTTCTGTAGTGCTCTATGCACAAGTTTATACCAGTAATGTGTGTGTGTTTTTGGGAGGGGAGTAGTGAATTCCCTTATCTCACAAGGCAGCCAGCATTCCCTGTATTTGCTATTATGCACCTTTAGTCATCTACTGCCGACTTACAATTTAGGCAAAGGGTATAAAGGAGACTGTAATCACTATCCACAGGCCCCACACACCCCCCCCAAAAAAAAAGGAAAAGTAAAAACTCAACTAACTAGGAGGTTCCTTTTTGAATTAATATTAGTTGTGAGGAGATTGGAACATTTCTTTGAGGTCAATCTGGCTAAAATTGAGACTTGAAATCAAATCCTGTAGCACAAGCTCGAGAATGTGAGCTTCTCAATTGTTGGATAGAGCTAGGTTAACCTCTAAAAGGGTGAACCAGAAATCGTGCTCAAGCCTACCCAAACCCAATAAAGAGACCATTCATTATTGCAATGGATTTGAAACAGCATACAACAAACTAGTTTTATCATTTTCCTTTATGAATTTGTACAGACAAGGAAAAAGTTAATGAGAACTTGTGAATATAGATATACAATGGTCTATTCGGAGATTTATTAAAAGGTAAAACTGCACCAAAATGTATTGGGACGCCTGTCATAGGCTACCACAATAAGATATCCATCCCCTCAACATTCTCGAAGCTGGCATGTTCAGAAAAAGAAACTCGAGAGAAAATTTTCAAGAATGACTTGTAGCACGATAGCAACATTAAAAGGAGGTTTAAGAATTTATCATATTAGTATATAATTCAAGAGAAAAGAAAAATTGAGCAATTAAGAACAGGCCTTTTTAACTCGCAAAACCAGTGTTTGTTTCTTCGAAAATCTACTAATTCATGATGGATAGGATCCTTCCTTTCTTCCATTATGATTTCCCGCTATTTAGACTACAAATTATCAAATTTAAGCTGTAACAAGGAAAAATCAACACATTTTACCCAATCGCATACAAGAAAACCGACAAATAATGAGACTAACTGAGGAAGAAAAGAAAAATAACAATGAAACAAAAAAGTACCTCCCGAACGGGCACAACAAACGAGAGGGTCACCAATTGCAGAGTCGAAATAGGTTTTGGTATAGTCGGAAGTTGTGAGGGAAATGCGAGTTTTGTCGTTGAATGGCGAAGAACAACGAATGGAGCGAAATTTCAGGGAGCCGGCGGCGGGCTTGGATGCAGGTATGTGATTAGCCTGCGGCGAAAAGGGGAGATTCCGATGAAGCAGAGGACGATGACAGAGCGATTGAGAGAACGAGAGCGCCATGGCGGGGCAAAAGAGCTCTGCTCTCCGAAACAGTACAGTTTCACTCCCAACAAAATAGAGATAAGATTACCCCTTTTTGCCGCTTTTCTTACCTGACCTTCATAATCGCGAGAATTCACCAATTTAGGAACGAATCAAGGAAACGAAAATTTACCGTTCCGTTGAGTTTGTTGATTTTGATGAGTGGAAAGTTAATTTAGATTTCATTAGTAATCAGTATAATTACACATCAATCAATATCGGTTCTCAATATATATATACTTATATATGGGACAATGTGTGTCAAAAATATATATGGTACATATATAAAGGTGGAAGTAAGCTTAGCTTAGCCTATTTAATAAACAAGTTAGACTCGTATTCAGGCTTATTTCTGAATCTATTTAGGCAAATAAGTTAAGCTTATTTTCGTAAAGTTTAACTCAGAAGCTTACAGGTTTGGCCTAGTGAATTTTTTTAATTTAAATTAATTATATATATTATTAATATAACTATTAGGTTTCATATCACAACATTTATACCTTTTTTTTTTTTTGAGCTGAACAACATTCATACATAAAATCAATATTTTCATTTTCCATCATTCACCTCTACATCTCTTCTTGATCACTCAAGATGGTAATGCTAGCTCACTTCCTCTCACTTGATTTGCATTATTCCTTAGAGCATAGTAATTGTTGTAAGTTTATTTTAGTGATGCTTAAATAAAATACTACCTCCGGTCTTAATATAAAACCTTATTTGACTTTTATTTCGGTCCTAAATATAAGACCATAATCCACTTTGTCTCTCATATTTATGCATTTTTTTTCCAAAATAGTCCTTTTAACAATGATAGTTCTAGCCAATACACTTGATTATTAAGGATATTTTAAGAAAAATAACACCTACTTATTACAAATAACTAACTTAATTTCTTTTATTAATCTCTTCAAATGAGTCAATTAACCCTTATAATTAGGACTGAAGGCAGTATTATAATTTCAATGGGAAAAGTTTGCCATAGTTTATGCAAAAAAATGAAAAGTAGTGAAATCTAGTTTTATATGCCACTTGTTGTACTTGGTTAATTTTAGAAAATGTATCTCTTTAGTTAGTTAACATATGATTGGTTATTCGTATTTCTACTTGTTTGGTCAGCTAACGTCACTACATTTTTTTCTTTTTCTTACTAAGACTCTTATATTGTAAGTGAGAAACATATGCTTCTTAATATGTTTGATGGGTTATATATGAATTTGGAATATAGACATTTAACCCTATTTAAAAGCCTGCATTTTAAGTAGGTTTTTAAAAAAATTTCAGACTTTTTGAATGCTCAAATTCAAATCTAAAAAACCTTATACATTAGCTCAGGCCCAAGATCAAGCTTTATATGTCTGTTGCAGGCCATGCCCACTTAATTAAAGTTTAGCCGAGCCTATTTTCATTCCAAATCATGCGAGCTGCTATTTAAATGTTCATGTAGTTGATTTTTTTGGGCTCAAGTTATGATGGTTTACAATTTTTTTATGCAAAACTTTTAGGCAGCTTGAAATTTAACCCACTTCAGAGTGCTTGATTCAACTTCTTCGAGCTTATAATGTGTTGAGCAGGGTGAGTCTTCATCAGATGTTTACATAGACGCAGCTAGGATGTCTCCCAAGCACCGTGATGAATCCCCCCCTTTTATTGGGGACAGGGTACGGTTCGGTTTTGGATGATAGCTCCATCGAGGACAAGCTCGACTAGGCTTATCTCCCAAGCACTGCAGTAGGTCACGTATTGTTTATTTAATGTATGTTTAGATTGACGTTAGGCAAAATTGACTTTTAATTTAACTGACTTTTGTAACTGAAATTAGAGTAAAAGTCAGTTAGAGTATATTTAGATAGGTGTTTTTAAAAAATCAGTTGAAAAAGTTAAAAGTTATTTGGATAATTAATAGAAAAGTTAGTTTAGTTGTAAAATATCTGAAAAGGGCATAGACTTTATTGAATAGTAGTGTTTGAAATTTTATGTTTTTAATGTGATAATAGTTTAAAAAATACGTAAAATTATTATGATAAAATATAAATATTTTATTTGTGAAATTATAAAATAAAAATATTTGTTACAAAAAAAATTGAAAACACATTGTAGATAATTAATTAAATACACATAATGGACAAACATGAATATAAATTAAAATTCACTTGGTCTGAATAAAAGCTAATTATGCTAAAGAAGGAGATGAGGCAAGGAGAAAATATGAGGATAAATTTGGGGTGCTCATTTTTAATAATCACCGTTTGAAACTACAGTTTGAAAAGTCAGATTTTTCTCCGTTGAGTCTAACTAAAGTTGAAAGCCAGAAGTTGATTGGAAAAGTTAGTCCAATTAAACAACAGTTTTGTCCAAGTTAGTTTGTAACTTTAGTTTCACAGATTCCAAAGTATTTTTACAGTTTCTAACTGCAATCTAAACATGCCCTTGATAGTTAGCCCAACCGGCTCAGTTTGGTAACGTGGAAAACCTAAAGCCTTAGCCTGTTCTGGATAACGAAGGGAAAGACCCACGGTGCTCGCAGAGTCGAGCCAACCTTGCAACGCACTCTTCATCGATGATTCGCCGATTTTGCTGTTTACAGAGCGCTACTTCGCCTCCCTCTCTCTCCCTCTCTACCAAGAAGAAGTCCCTTGTCCTTTTGGGTTCCCCGCAGGTTCTCTCTCTCTCTCTCTCTCTCTCTCTCTCTCTGTGCGCGCGCTCGTAGAGTCTCTCGGTCTTGCTGTTTACTTCAATGTCTTAAATTACCAGGTCTCAGCAACTGTCCTTGATGCCCTTCTCAACGCTTCTAGTGCATCAGATTCTTTATTTGAGGTATTGCTTTTGATTGTTCACATTTCCATTTGAATTTTTGCTGGATGACTTGAGGAGAACTTGGAGTGGGTTTTGCTTATTGGATAGCTAAAGTGCCATTTGCATCTGCCATGTGCTTTGTTTCAATTTGAGTTCCTTCTGGCTTGTGCTATGTTGTATTACCACTACCAAAACATTATTTCTTCTCTTTTTCTTTCTTCTTTTTGCATTTTCCTTCGATAGTTTTTTTGACTAAGTGATGGGTCTTCAATGGAGCTGCATTTTGTCATTATCGATATTTATGGATCATCCCGGGGAAATGGGGATGCTCAGTGGAAAGCATAACTTAAAAGAAAAGGAAGGGAAATCTGACATGTATTATCTTAATCCCCCTCTTCCATGCTTGAAAGCAATTCTACCTATTTATATGCTAAACAAGTGGTATCTGAAAATTTTGATTTTATATTCCAGCATTTAAACTTGACTGTTTTAGAGGCATAATCTATATATTTAAGCAGAGACTAGAAAATTGAGGCATCAATCACTAATTTGGTAGGATTTAGGTTGCAGCTATTGTTACCCAGCCACCTGCTAGAAGGGATAGGGGGAAAAAGCTGCTGCCTTCCCCATTGGCAAAATATGCTCTTGATAGAGGTTTCTCCTCTGATTTTATATTCACACCTGAACGGGCTGGGGAGGTAATTATTAACTTGAGTTCCTTATCTGAAATACAATTTGTGAAATGAGTTTAAATGTTGTTTTGTTGTCAGTAGCTGATGAATTCCATCGTGTATGTAATCCTGGGGATTGGCTACAGTTATTTTTTGATGTGGTGAATGAGTAATATTCTGGGCTTTGAAGGCTGGACAAAGCACTATATAGTTCCTTTCATTGCTTGAGGCAGTACGGCTGGTTAATTTTAATCTTTTCGTAGCGATAAATGAAGGCTACAAAAGATTTCACAGTAGCCTTTATCATTGGCCAAAATCCTAAATTTCATATGAAACACATATCAACCAAAAGGTAAGTTCATAGAAATTCAATGAGGGCTTGAGGCTTATTGAATAAATTGAGGGGTAATTGCTGGCTGCTCAAATTAAAATACATTGTGATGGCAAGGTCTAGTATTTGCAGACATTTGCATCTGGTAATCTAGCTGTAAGTTTTTTAATCCTAGCATATGACGACCACAATCAAAAGCTTGTCAATTCTAGCGTATATTAATGTAGCTATAAAAGCTTTGTTACAGCAGCATATGAAAAATAATAAAAAATGGGTGTTCATGTTTTCTCTCCACGCAGGACAATTTCTTGTCAAACTTGAAAGTTTTGCAACCAGACTTATGCATTACTGCAGCATATGGGAATATACTGCCCAGCAAGTTTCTAAACATACCACCATTGGGTTAGCAATTTTTCTCTCAATCTAGAAAGTTTAACCAATACTTTCCTCTTATATTCCTAGTTAAACATCCTCTGCATCCAGGATAGACCATACTCTCCTTAATTAAATTCAAGTTACAGGTTAAAGCATGTTAAAATTAGACCAATGACTGAATCAATGGGATAAAAGGGTTCTTCACAGTTGTAGCAGAATAATATGGTTTCTTTGCATTTAATTTACATGTAACATTTAATGAAATTTTATACATAAAAAAGAATAAAAAATTAAAAAACCATGTGGTTGTGCCATAGTTTTGTTGGAATTCTTTCATATCGGCCTTTCTGTTCAACATTTTTTGAATGATATGCTTTCTAATTATATATGCGTTTGGAATCCCATACTCTCCTCTCCCTCAGGAGAAGCTGTTCATATTACAAATGTTAAGCTCCACCTATAGATCTTGAAGTCCTTAGTCCTGTGTATATTTTACTTCGTTTTGTAATGCTCTAAAGTAAAAATCAGATTGTTTCTTGCCCAACAATTAAATCTGCAGCTCTAATTACCAAATTCTAAATCACGCATGTAAATTGCTCAGGAACAGTCAATATCCATCCTAGCCTGTTGCCATTGTACCGAGGTGCTGCACCTGTTCAAAGGGCATTACAGGTTTCTATCACCTTTTTTTGTTGTTTTTATTTTCTTATAGTTTTCTCTCATCATTTTATCTTTCTTCTTTTTTTTCTTTTTGGTGGACATCATTTTATCATTGTTATTTTCTATATTAGGATGGTGTCAAAGAAACAGGAGTGTCATTAGCATTCACTGTTCGTGAACTTGATGCTGGACCAATCATTGCTAATGAACGGTTTGAAGTCGATGATCAAATTAAGGTATGTGTTTCTCTTTGTTCCACTTAAGATGTAGTCGTCCAAAATATTTGCATCATTTACTCAGATTAGTGCTTGTATTTGTATTTACTATTTAGGGTACAATATTGGCTAGAATGTTTTACTCAAGAATTGCCCTCACCATAAATTTCTCCCTCCATAACTTTCTCACAACACACTTGTTTGGTGAAACTATAGTCCTTTCTCTCCTCCACTGACTAATCTTTAGACATCTTTGCAGGCGCCTGATTTGCTTTCTCAGCTGTTTTTTGAAGGTATGATTTTCTCCCGCAGTTCTCATGTCTATATAATTGGGGCTACTTTTTTATTTATCTACCTGTTTCTCTCCCATGATGTGGTAGGCTATTTGCAGTCCCTATGCCTGATATAGTTTTACTTTCATCAATTAACGAGTTCTGGATCTTTGATAAGGCAGGATCAAAACTTCTTGTCCGTGAACTTGCTTCCATATTTGATGGATCTGCAAGGGTGAAAGCTCAACCTCAAGATCACAATAAGGCTACATTGGCTCCAAAGGTACAGTTGGCTTGAATTGTGCCCCTTGGCCATGGCGATGGAAATGAATTCTCCTATTGATATTTGATACTAGTTTCATCAGATGCTTTTAGCAATCTGCTACATATTGCTTTAGACTTAAAAGCATAGTGTATCTGAATATTTATTTCAGGCAATGTATGTTTACTGGTGCAAAAATAAATCATCAATTGAAAAATTATTCACCAATTGACATGGACATCAATTATCTGTTTAGTATCACATGAAATTAGATTAATTGAATTTAAGTTTGTTTGTGCTTCAAGTCTTCCTTTAGCACTCCATTACTAATAAAGACTGATGATTATGAGCTCCTTTGTTGGCTATTTCCTTGTTAATATTACTTCTTTTTTTTTGGGTATTTTTTATAAATAATTTACTTAATTGCCTCCAGCTGTTAGCTGCAATATAAGACCACGTTAAAGCATTGAAGGTTTAGGGGAGTCTATTCCGTTGCTTTCTGTTGCTTCTAGTGTATACAGTTGGTGAAACATCTTCATAACTGGGAATTATTTCTAAGCATCGGTGCTTTATGCAGATAAATCCAGAGGAGTCTTGGTTATCCTTTGATCAAGAAGCACTAGTTCTACATAATAAGGTGAGCTTCCTGATTTTATTTGAACTGTGAAGTTATGACGTAGAAAAATTCTAGGTTCGTGCTTTTGCAGGGTGGCCAGGAACTCGAGCAAAGGTGTTAGTTGAGAAAAATGGGGAGCAGAAAACACTGGAACTTAAAATTATAACCACACGAGTTGGTATTCACAGAAGTGTACTTCCCAAAGAAGGAGATGATATTACATTTGCCAAGGATGCATTGGTGTTTCCTTGTGCTGAGGGCACAGCACTGGAGGTTTGTTCTTTATCTTTACTTTTTACCATCAATCATGAAGTTTTTATTAAGGTCTATTTGTCACTTTTTTTTTTAATGGTATAACATCTGTTTGAAATTAAATCATGCCTGCCAAAAGTCTGAGGAGTAACTTTTCCTAAATCCTCAGCAAACCAAGTCCTAGAAACATTGTTATAATTATTCAGTATTTATCCCCCTGAATTGGAGATGGAGATTGGAGACAAATGGCATGTTTCATGGCAATCCTGAAAGTTATCCAGTATCCAAGGAACTTTAGATGACTATTAGGAGATGATATATATTATAGTGGTATTTATGATTGATGTGCTTATAGTATAGGGTTTAGGGTTTTAAACTGGAACATAGTCTGAAATCTCAAATTCACTAGTCATTTGGAAATATTTTAGTTGTTTGAGTCCTGGGATATCTTATTCCTGAATGGCTCAGCATTTTCATTTCATGTTTGGATTGCATTTGTTTGTGTCATCTGCGCAAGGCTTGTCATCGTTCTTAGAAAACACGGCCATACTGAATTTGAAGGGCAAAAAAAAAAAAAAAAGAATCAGATTTCTGTTTTAATAGGTTTTTAGGCCTGTCATTGAGAGATATTGAGAGTCACGTGATTTTCATGTGCCAGGATATTAGTTATGTTTCTTCCTTCTTTCTCTTCCCAACAAATATATAAGGGGTTGCTAGTTCAGTGTTACTTCAAATCATTATGTTTTCTGATTATAGTAATTGTTACACTATCAGGTATTAGAAGTTCAGCTTCCAGGGAAAAAGGTGGTAAAGGCAGATGCTTTCTGGAATGGATTACGGGGACAGAAATTGAAGAGATTAAAAGAGGCCATCTAATCGTAACACAGAGGGAAGATTTTAATATAGTTCTCCAGCTGTTTAAGAAATCAATTCTTTTGAGTTTTACTTGATTCAAGGTTTTTGTTATCTTTACTAATTTTGTATGATTCAAATGCTGTTACTATTTTTTCAATAGCCATCAATGAACCATGAGTTTTTCTCAGGGGATTTACTTTTATTATTATTACCTTGTCGTAAAAGCTTGCTTTTAGTTTCTGTGACGGGTAAAATTGCTTTTGGTTTTTAAACAATTTTGACTAAATTTCTTTTTGGTTCTTGAACTTTATTTGCCACGGAATTAAAATCCCCAACTTGTTGAAAGATTTCTCTTTGTTCAAAAGTTTTTAATATTATTTTTGTCCCAGTTGAATTTAAAAATTCAAAAGTTTCTTAATTATAATAATATAAAATGTAATTATATTTCTAAATTTCATGCATTTGTAATAGTATCCATAAATTTTCTTTTTAAACAAGGTTTAAAAAGTTAAGAAGTAATAGGTAATTATTCTAATAAAAAGAGTGATGGTCAGTTAATCACAAATTTATGTGAATGTGAAAGACCTCTTTGAAGGAGTTGTTTCATATAGGCCTAATAATATTTAAATTGATTCAATAGTAACATATATCATATAAATGTATAAAAAAAAAAGCTTCAAATAATCATTAATAATAAAATAATAATATTTATTCAGTCTATTGCTTTATATTGTATTGATTTTAACACTTCCACATTATATATGATTATTTGTGGCTATGAACAAGAAATTAGGGGGTATAATTATATAAACACTAGTAAATGCATGTATCATTATTTTCTAAAAACTCAGCATTAATTCATCATCTATCATTATTCATTAATCATGGCATCATTTTCTAGAAGCTCATTAGCTTATGAATGGTGGTAGAGTTCCTTGAATCTAACTTATTTTAGACCATACAATTTGTTTATTTATATTAATTTTTTTTGAAATATTATTTTATAATTTATCATATTCGTAGGTTTCACAATATTCACAATGCAATTTATAAGTCAACATTTCACATTGCATTTTATACAAAAATCAAATAATAAATAACGTGTATAATAATCAAGTTGATACTGAATTCTCTCTTTTTGACAACAAAAAGTTGAATCATAGATATATGGGTCGCATATAGAAATTAATTGAGAACCAAGTAATGTGACAGAACAAGTTAAAAAAATGATGGGAAAGTGAAAATGACAGAGCAATTTTCAAAAATGGAAATTAGTTTGAAAGAATCTGAATATCTCTCTACAGACTTTGGCCCCAAAAAAAGGGTTCCAGAAAATGCATGAAGGCCATAGAAAGTCAACAAGGAATTATATTGTGATCATTGGATGGTGTTTCTTCAGGTTTTTGTATGTCTTGTGGAGTTTTGAGAAATTCTTGTTTCTTTATTCTTACTTCTAATACTGTCTTTATACTATAAGTTGGTAACAGAATAATGAATCTTTCCCACTACTAAGCATTTCTCTCTGTTTTTTTAAATCAAATCAAATTATGTTGGGTTCCAAAAAATTAAAACAAATCAGTGAAAAGTCTTTGAAAATTTTATTGGTTAAAAGGTCTAAATTCAAGTATTGGTACTTTCTATATATGAAATCTTGTAAAGAATCGATACTTACTGTGTAAAAACATATTATGTACTTCTAGTCAATAAAACCTCCAAACAGAATTTTTCAAGTTTTTTTTTCAAAAAAAAAACTGAATGTAATTTTCTTTCTATTTACAGGGGTTCGTTGCAAAATTTTGTTTATGGGATGTTAAATATTAAAAAAAAACCTCCAGCTTAGATTCAACCGTATTTGTCTGTTGAATTTATTTACAAAGAAGTATAATTACATGAAAAAATTAACTACTACCTCCTATTCTTAATATAAGACCTAGTTGACTAACTTGAGGAGATTAAGAAAATTAGTCAAGTTAATTATTTATTATAAATAGATATTTTTTTCCCTAAAATACTCTTGCTGATTATAAATATTAGCTACAATTACTATTTGATGAAACATTTAATATGTACAACTACTATAAGGACTATTTTAGAAAAATGAATAAATATGAATGACAAAGTGGATTGTGGTCTAATATTTAAGATCAAATTGAAAGTCAAATAAGCTTTTATAATAAGAAACGAAGGTAGTATAATTATTTTATGAACCAAATAAAGCTCATCTTGAAATTATTGCTGAGTAAGATAGAGGGCTTTGAGGATATACACACAGCACAGATAATGGACGGCCATGATAAACTTATTATATGGTGAATTATTGAAAAAAGAAAGAAAGTGACATTATTGAATGAACGAAATGAAAAGAAAACACAAAAACCCTTTTGAAAAAATTTAATATACGTACAAACTCAAGAATAATACTATAAACGAGTTAACAACAATAGCCCCATCCTCATTATATTCAATTCCTCATTATGTGAAAAAGTTACCATACTTCCCGGAGATTCATCATTTTTGCTTTATATATTTCTATATTAATTTAAATTTTGTAACATTGCTTTTTTCCCCACAAATATGCACTAAGCCCTTTTAATTTTTCTTTTTATTTTTTTTAAATATCAATTGGCTTTCGAAGCTCACATTAGACTTTGACTATTTCAGATTAAGTCTAGTCAAACCTTATGGGTGTAGAATCTTCTTAGTAAAAATTTTCTAAATGCACAAGTTTCAAATTAAAGTTGAGTTTGAAGTTTGAACCAAAAGAAAATTAAAATTGATGTTTTGTGATTTATTTCTAGTGTTGATATTTTATATGTTAATGACTAATCCTTTTGGTAGATTTTTTTTTTTCAATTTTAAATCATTTGATTCAGTCCATGAATCCTTATACTGCTGGTAAAAAAAAATCCTCATATATACTTTTACAACTTGAAAATTTCAATATCCAGTTAGATACATAATTTGATGCTTGGAATATATGTAATAGATGATTTTATCTTTATCGAGCAACATTTGAATTATTTAAATTTAATATAATAAATGTACAATTCTATTATTTTATTTTAATATGTTTAAAAACAAGTAGAATTTAAAGTGTGTGCACTAGAGAGTAAAGTTGCTCCTTTTCCACAATGATTCCTAAATCTATTAATAAGCTTGCATAACTTAGAGGATACAGATGTAAAATTAGAGAAAACTTTCTTGCATAAACATATTATATTTCTGCATGCTTAAAGTAGTCTTTATGTTCTGTCATCAACCTTTTTTTAAAAAAATTATAATATAATTAATATAGGGAATTTTTTCTTACAAGAATTTAAATCATAAAATGATGATTTACACCATGTCTGTATTTTTCCCCCGAACTATATAAAGGACATATAATAATTTAGGAAAGATAACTTATTTAAAATGCTTGAAGATTGGAAGAAGCACAGAAAATGATGGAAAAAATATTACTATGAGTAATTAAAAAATAAAAGCAAACATGTAAGGAAAAAAAAGAGGAGCAAAAAAGCATTATTTATCAGCTCGTGACTTGTTATTGAATTGGCATGTCAAATTTTGTATATCTATTATGTCAAGTTTTTCAATCATGCATAATCATATATTCTATTTTTTAAATATTAGCATTTAACAATATTTAATTATAAACTCACATGAAAATATATATATATATATAACTATGTGTAATTGGAAAACTTGATACAATAAATATAAATAACTTGACCCAAGTATTTTTCATATTAAATTTATATAATCATGAAAAGCAGCACAATCAATAAATTATAAAATGTAATTAAGATCGGCCAATCAAACTAATGAACCAATGCCTTGACTATTTTAGTCAACAATTTAGAAGGTTCAACCGGATTGATTTTAACTTTATATTTTTTTTTCTGTTCTTACTAATCCTAAAAAGACGTCATTTTAAGTTTAAAATAATAGTAGTATATCAACTTCATACTTTAATTACTTTATTTTGTTGGATTTATATAGTTTATAAAATGTTCCATTAACTTGTGCATTAATACCTATTTTATTTCAATATCGAATTTTTCAAGGTCGTATATAAATATATTTTTATATTTTAATTAAATTATACTATAATTATAATTGGATGACCCCAATTCAACTTATATATGTACCCCTTAAATCACTGTTTCAATCAATTTAGAATTTATTTTGAATAGCTTATAAGTAACTTTTCAATCATGATTTACAGAATATACTAAACGAATTATGTCTCGATTTACGTGAAATATATTTATAAATGTTTTTTAACATTATTCCAATAAGTGCTTAATGATTAGTCCAATTTTCATTTACTCAAGGAAACTGTTATATATAAACTAATCATACAAAGATGTAAGTGGGTTAAAGAATATAATCAAACATGGTGTGTCCCAAACTTTATGAGGCAAGGTGCTATATAAAGAATCGCTAGGTACGCCCCACACTGAACTGTGATCTGTGAGTGCTCTCTCTCTCTCTCTCTCTCTCTCTCTCACAAAGGGAAAATGGGGGCACTCGATTACCTCTCGAACTTTTGCACTGATGTAAGAGTCCAGGCCCAGGCGCAAACCAATGCAGGTTCTTTATATATATATATATATATATATAGTGCTTAATGATTAGTCCAATTTTCATTTACTCAAGGAAACTGTTATATATAAACTAATCATACAAAGATGTAAGTGGGTTAAAGAATATAATCAAACATGGTGTGTCCCAAACTTTATGAGGCAAGGTGCTATATAAAGATCGCTAGGTACGCCCCACACTGAAATGTGATCTGTGAGTGCTCTCTCTCTCTCTCTCTCTCTCTCTCTCTCTCTCTCTCTCTCTCTCTCTCCTCTCTCTCTCTCTCTCTCTCTCTCTCTCTCACAAAGGGAAAATGGGGGCACACTCGATTACCTCTCGAAACTTTTGCACTGATGTAAGAGTCACCAGGCCAGGCGCAAACCAATGCAGGTTCTTTATATATATTATATAGTATATATATCTTCTCTTCTTCCTCTTCTTCCCCTCTGGTTTTTTCAAATATGGCTGTTCTGAATATTTGTTGGTTCTTTCTTTTGGTTTCATCAGACTGTTGAGATCAAAGTTAAAATGGACTGTGATGGCTGCGAACGAAGAGTTAGAAATGCTGTCACTCGCATGAAAGGTCTCTCTCTCCTCCCTTTCTCTCTCTACTGAGCATGA